GCCATATTGAGAAGGTGGAATTGCAGCCTGACTGTCAATCCGTCCGCCAGGTCGCAGTTCCAAAAAAACAACCCATACTGGACTGACCGTGTGATTTTACTCAGTTGGCAGTCTTCCAAGTAACGCCTGTTATCGCACACTTGTAACTTCACGCGTGTCTGAGTGTTCTTAGTAATGAAAATGCACTTAACCGTCTACCTCACTCTTTCCACAACGACATCAAGCCTCTGTCCGTGCTAATCCGTTGTCTGATGTAGGTATCTGTTTTAAAATAATAAAGGAAAGGAGGCTCTTCAATAGCAGTACTGCTTACTATTCTTTGCGCAATGCCAAGTCGGCTTCCCTCAAGCATGTGGGCCATTGTCAGTTGCTAGCTTGAGCCCCAATTGAAAATCAAGTAAGTTCATGTAAACGAAATTTATTTTCTGCCAGTGGCAGAATCTGAACTTCATTGTGGACACACTCAACGCATTCAGTTGCAACACCCCCTACCTATATGGTCAAAAATATCCCACTTTGCTCTTGCGGAGGCAGTACTGCTGCATTAAGTTTTTATTAAGATTTGAAATTATTTCGGTAGCTTAGCATCCAGGCCTCCACAAATGCTGAGTTCCTTTCCGTTTGTCCTGGTCTAGGTCTCCCTGCACGAAGGTTGGCATCTGCTGTACGATCGACAAAATACGGTTTCACCTCCGCTGCTATCTATAGCGAGTCAAGTACCCCAATTCTGGCCGGTCAACGCATTGACACGCTCCACCTCGCCAACTGGCAGAATAATTCCTACAGCATGAACAACGAGGTTGAAATTGACGTGGAGATAAGCGGCACGCGTGGACCTCTCGCAATTCAGGTGTACCTAAACAGCGCGCGAAATGCGTTCCTGAGCTGCCTTAAGCATCTGCTGGCGCGACTAGCGCTTGCTGGAATTGCGATTGCGGTTATTTGGATGGCATTTAAATCTATACCAGAGCAAAACAGCTCCTACCTGTTTGTCGTTCTCGGTCCACAATTGACTGAACTCTCTATCTTTATGTGGAAATTTATGGTTGCCAGGGGCAATTTGCGAGACGAGGAAAAAGGGTGAGTGCTTTAAATTTTCTGCCTCTGGCTGATCTAATGTTCAATCATTGGATCTTCAATGATGTGTGAATTGCTGTCTATTAATCCTAAAGTAAGATTTCTGTTGTTGATCAATTTCCTCTGTGGCGATAAAATTGCTGCTTGAGACCGAGTTTAATTACAACCATCAAACAGCAGGTTTTTCCACCATTTATTTTATGTGGACACTATTTATTAATTATATGGAAATTTGTTGTTCTTTGGAATCAATCGCGAAAACATAGAAGGCCAAGATTGGAGTTGGAACCACGACAGCAAGTGAACTTCTGTGGTATAGGCAACGCTCTATCCAACTGACTTACGGGGCTCCATAGGCAGCCGGGATCATAATTGAATGAATTTACTTGTCCATGCTATGGCTGCGTACGTAAACAAAGTTATTTTATGGCGAATGATCCTCAACAAATGGCGAGCAGAGGCGGTGGACATTCAAAGTTCCACCAATTTTTACTCACACATTGAAAAAGAACACTTGCACGCATGGTGGTTTTGTCTTATGTCCCATGCTCGCCAGACCTTAAATTATCAAGCATAGGTTAGGTTAAAAAAACATCAAATTTATTCTTATAATATTGAAGTTCGCACTAAAATTTGCTGATCAAACATTATGGGGTGGCTTGATCTGTGCTTACGATGTGGCATGGCTGTATTCTCGAGAAGGAAGTTGATGAACGCTAATCAGGCAAGTGTGAAAAAAACAACTAGGTTTCTCCCTCATTTCCACTCACCCAACTTAGTGATAACAAACGTGGCAGGGCGTCCGTCGTTGTCGAATATATGCGGTCTGTAGTGAGTTATTGTACACCAATCTGTTTCGGAATATACTCATCCTGGTTGATGCCTTGTTTGCGAGCTACTTGGAACCCCAATCATATGTGTTCAAGGCGAAATAGTTATGCTAATCGCTAGCTTTTAGTAACATTGGTATTTATCGACATCCACAGAGCACATACACGAAGCGCTTTCCTGCTCCATTGGGCATCATAAGGTGGTGGTAGCTCAACTCCAGTGTGGCAGCGGAAATTGCCGCCACATCCGAGTTTCGAACTGTGTACTTTACGGAGTAAGCCTGACAACTCATACTTGCGCTTGAAGAAATCAGCGGGTAAACCAATTGTACTCCTTAAGCATTTTTATGCACTGTGGCACAAAATAATCCAGGGGATGGGACAGAAAGCTGCAGTTGACGGGGTAAACAGCCAATTTATGCGTGTAGCACGATTCATGTTGCGGGAGAAATCAACTATAACTGAAGAAGAATATTAAATATTTAGGTAAGATGCCATTTCACTTAGAGTGCGTTATAAAGGCTAAATTAAGGTGAAGGTGGGGAGAGAAAAAACAAACTGACTTTCTCCTGAGGTGGACTTTTATAACGTTAGTTTTGGGACCTCCTTCTCACAATATGTTGCGCGCGTAGTCAGATTTGGTGTAGTTCAGGTTTTTCGTAGTGGCATGCATTAGGAGTCATTAGTGTCAAATCCTCTCTCCAACTCTCCTCATTCCTTCCTCCATGATCAACTTCACTCTCTAGCCGGTATGTTCTTTTAGATAGTGATTTGACACAGGTGGCTAGCGAAGCTGACTTCCTTATTTAAGCTAGCCATTCGAGACGGTGTTCAGAACAGTGCATACGGTGTACACAAAAAGGAGATGATATAACAAACACCGACGGGGCTAAACTGGACGGACGCTCGGTGCATTTGGAAGAAGGGGTGGCGGAAATTCCGCTGTTGCTTTGTAGATATGTTTGAACATGGTCACAAGCGTATTTTAGAAAGGAAATTTGAGTTGACAGAAACAGAGCTTGATTGTATACACACATGTTCTTTCTAATATCCCTTCCCTTACAGAAGTCCAAGTAGAAAAAATTTGACGGTATCTTTGGTAGCACACCTAATATATGCTTAACCCCAGGCTCGTTTCCTATGGATAGGGCTGGGGTTAGGGTAAAGGTTAGTTGTGAGGGTTAGGTTTAGGGCTATAGTGAAGATTAGGGTTATGCATAAAGAAATAAGTATACAGTTGTTTATAGAAAATTGCATACTAGCGATTAGCTTTTTGCCTTCTGCATGAACCAGGCAACCTTGCCGTTACAGGTTGGCCGGGACTGGGGCTAAAGTATATAAGTTGCGCTGCCCATGATACCTCAGCCCAAAATATGTTTTTGCAGCCATCTTCGACAGATAAACTGAATTCATCTTTCTTTTGTCGACACTAATGCTGTATCTCATACGTACACTTACTTCAATTTCATGGAAGCAAAACAAAATTTGCCGTTTTGTGAACATATACAATTAAAAAGTTCCGGCTCTTCATGAATGTGCAATATGCACAAATAAAAAGTTCTTTTCCGCAACGTTTAATAGGGTAGGAAATTCCTCGGATATCAACAAATGCTACATTTCGCCCATTTTAGCCTCTATCTTATTCCACTATACTGATATGAACGGAATGCAATTCTAGCAAGCAGGACTTTGTCCCTCAAGTCAACCCAATGAACTAAATAAACAACCTCAAATGTGTGTTAAATCCCTCAATCCCCAACCTCTCATGAGATTTTTAACCTACTATTCTTTCATGACCCGTTACCACAGGCGACAAATTCATGTTCCATGGAAGTCGATTAACGGTAATAATTCTAAGATTAACAGCAATAAGTGCTGTTGATAAGGTCTTGCGAGGCATCCCATAGGTATATTTTTAAACCCTTCGAGGTATGAATTAGGTGTGTGGCGACTTACGCGGAAAAATTATCATCCGCCTTTCGACATTCAGTATTACGGGTTGTCTGCAAACACAGTTTAGGATTTGGGTCCAGGTGATAACGCATCACTGAAGGGGAAAGGTATAAGGGAGAGGC